GTGTATAAGCTGATTCTGCACTGATAGATGGTGGAGAGTCCGATGAAGCTTCCGGGTCTCTCTACTATTGTTGTCCTTCACTGCAGCCTTGATAAGACTCTGGACTTTGACCCAGTTGTCACCGCTATACACAGAAGTAGACGAATCAGAGCTCTCAGCTGCCTCAGGGGTTCCGTGGGTGAAGCGATCAAGTACTTGGCTACTATCAGGTGGGCATATCCCAGTAACTCTGAAGGAGCTCAATACAGTACTCTCTGTAAAGCTCTTCACCCAAGCACGCCAGAATAGTAGAATGAAGTCACCTTTCTTGACTAGGAGCCACCCTAGGCTTTGCTGGAGGTACTCAGTGAGCTCAATAGTATAGAAATGAGCCAGTGGGGCGAAGCAGACTACGTCCAACGGCTGGAGAGTCTGGGTTGAGTGCGGGGGCAGTATAGCCAGCAGAATTCAATGATTATCACAGTACTTGATGAACTCCATCGTTATATGGGAGCCATGGCCATCTACAACTAAGAGCCAGTACTGCACACGTGATTTCTGCTTAGTATAGCAATCAAACACCTGTTCAAGCTAGGCAAGGCCAACGTTGTTGTTTGTCTAGCCTGTAGGGGATGTAGTGAAGTGTGCTAAGTGCTGTTCTGGTTTGATATCGTCCACCCAGCTCGATCGTATAGCTGGCCCAGCTGCCTCATATATAATACCAGGTGGTAAAGCACTCCCATCAGCACATACACAAGCTAGCACTGTCACCCACTCCCAGTTACTAGCTTGTATAGACTGCCGCACCTCCTTCCTCTCATATTGACGCTTGTTGAATACTCTTTTTGACCTCCCAATGACCCCTATCATAAAGCCCTTCTCGTCCATATTGTATGTGTTTTCTGGCTCTACGTTGTACTTATCAATCTTAGAGTAGAGTATATCAAAGTACTGTTTATACTTAGTATATGACTCGGCGTAGTGGCAATTGGAGTCCATAGCGGAGGCCCAACGTGGCAGGAGGCAGTTGTTGTGACGGTGGAGGAAGCGAGTGACCCAGCTATCAGAGAGCGTCTCCTGCGCTACAGCAGAGGCGAAATTTCGTATCATCTCTCTTGTAGGTGGTAAGCGACGGGTAGTGAGTTCTTGTATATACTTTACAAGCTCTGCCTCTTGTTGTAGGTTGAGTTTGTGCTGCTCAGAGTCCTTGACTGCACGCGACGTTGTCTGCTGCCAGTGCCTCCGCGACAACGTTGACCGACTGCAACTGTATTAATCTGCAATTTTTTAATAGACGAGTTTCTCTCCAGGTTCAAGTGCATTTATATGCGCAAGCGCAGCTTCAATTGGAGTCATGTTGTTGTGTTGTGACGCGTTGAAAAAGTAGCCTATTTTGAGGATATCGTGCATTGCGCGCACGGACACGGGTACAGCCTCAAGTTTGTATAGTGCTGCAGGGTGATTATCGGGCGTTGCGCGCACGGACACGGTACCGGTACCGTAGGGCTGCAGAACTTCAAAGAGGTCCATAGTCATTAGATGTTGACTGAGTGATGGGTGTCTATCTTTACAACGCGACCTTTTCGCTGCATCACGACGCAATCTCAGAATGCGCACTGCGGGGGGGGGGCTCTCAGTCTCTCCGACGCCGAAATTGTGCAGCGATTTCCGATCTTGCACGGTCCGCCCGCAAAATGGAAGGCGCGATGCATGTTGATTGGCTGGTCAAAAAATCCACCGAAGTTGAGCGCAGCATAGGATGGAGAGCCCTTAAAATCACTTCTCAAAGGCATGCCCATTGAAGCCCGCATAGTGTCCTACAAGCTTGACCCAGCAAAGGCGTTATGCTCCGGGCGAGCATCCGGCTTGACTCTGGCGCACGTTGATAATAGCGAATATGTCATAGTATATACAACGTCCGATGCCCTCTTCGGCACTCTCACGAGACTAAGCCTCCTCTTCCCGGCTCGGTTGTAGCAGAGTACAAAGGCTCTGCTTCTCTGCATTCGCGTGTCTTCTAAATCACTTCCCATCCTCTGTACCCTGGGTGTCCTTTACCATGAGCCACGCAAGCAGGTGACGCTTCTGCTCAGGACACATCTCTCCCTCCACAGCGTCGACAAGCCGGTACTTATCGGGCAGTGTGACGCTGTAAAAGAGCCTCTCCCCACCTGTCCCACCGCCGTGTTCTCAATGACGACAACCGGTTGATCCTCCGACGCGTGGCTCGCACCGAGCTTGACGAGCGGTCTGAGTAGGTGACACGCGTGTTGACTTTTTCGAAACGCTCATTCCAACCTGCCCTGTCAGTGGTTGCGAATGACAATTCTCACACATTTCTTGATCGCTATGCCGCACGAAGAGAGGTGTTCTACCCTTCATCCCTCCTGTCTAGCAATCAACTCCAAGAACCACGGCCGCCAAACTGTCTCCGCCCAATCGAGCAGGAAGTGCAACACAGCTATGACCTTGAGCGCATCACACACATTCCTTGTGCTTCCGATTGTAATCTGCTCTCGGACGATCACTCCTTCGCTTGTCTTTGTCACTACCAGCAAATGCCATTCATGTCCCTGCGAAATGAGCACCGGTATGGCTGGCCAAGGTTTCTTCATGACGGCCGCCGGACTCTGGCCGTCTTTCCACAGCAGCTCACAGCGCCGCAGCCAGGCGTCCATCCAGATCCCAATCTGGGGCTTGCCGTCTGTCCAGGACTTCATCGGAGACTTAGTCTCGATATGTATGGCGAAGGGTAAGTCTTGTGCCGTACTGGTGATGTGGTTCCAGGATTTCAATGTGTTGGCTGCAAGAGGTCGCAGGGTCCGATATGCATTGGATATGACGGAGTCGGGTTTTAGGCAAAAGACATAATCTATGATTCGGCCAGGAAGGTTGTTGTTACTCAGAGCCGGCGGATCAATGCGAGCGGATTGCCTGAGTGAGATTAGTCTATCATCGCCTACTGACCTGGCGCATTCGTTGCACACTTACACAGAGTGAAGCGAGAGCACATTGGTATGCCGACTGGTCGCAAGCGCAAGCTTGAGCAGCGGCTTCTGCACATCCGAATTCCACTCATCTTCAGCACCTCCTGCCCCAGTGTTCAACACGATCGCATCGTTAACGATATCGGCAATTTTATGAATCGCAGGCGTCACTCCACGCAAAGCCCTGCTAGCGTCTCGTGCCCAAGGTCGCAGTAGCCTCGCTCTATCCAATTCCGAGACTTGGGCAAGCGACGCTCCAAACGCGTCTGCATTGTCGTAGTCCAATATACCGACACCGTCCGCAAGCATTTGCACCGCAGTTCGCATCGCGGCGACATCCGATCGACCGCTGTCTGCCTCGACAATGCTGAAGTCGCAAAAGATGACTGGTCGTTCGAGATTCCTCAGCGCGTGTATTTGCTTGGTAGGGCTGAGCCTCCCACTCTTGTGCGAAGTGACAGAAGCAGTGGAATCGCTCCTTGAAGACGAGGTTGGTGAGAAATAGAATGGGTCGTTGATTTCGCGAAGGCGTTTGGCTGGACGAGGTGTCTCTTGATCGTCACTGGTGACGCCAACACCAGAGTCCATATCTGCCGAGCGAGGTCGCTTAGTCGGTCGCGGCGCGGCGCAGTCGTTGCAAAGGGCAGAGTCCTTCAGAGCGACGGTGCTGCGTCTGTATCAGCATAACCATGTCGATTGGAGGTTTCAATTGGCAGTAGAACACGCACTCTGTAGGTGGGGATGCGACAACTGCACCCAGCCAGCTGTAGATAATCGGATCTAGCAGTGACGACGAGGGCATGGCAGCACCGGACGCGTGGGGTAAGATGGTGCGATGCGAAGGCTAGGAGGGCAGCCGTGCGAAGTGAGCAATCGAGCCAAATTGATAAGGCTGTTTGTCGCGCCCGCAGCTGGCCCGGCAACCGCTCCCTTCAAAACCGGTGCCGCGTCCGTGCACCGATTGCGCCCAATCTCTGACGTCAGCACCATTTCGAAGCGCGGTCGCAGAGCGAGCCTACCAGCTACCTGCAGAAGAGCGATCTGACAAAGAGGTTTGTGAGAAGCGTGCAAGGGAAGGGGTGGGGTCGTAGCGCGGTCGCGTAGCGCGGCCGCATGTCGCGTGTCGTTGTCTCCCAGCTGCAGATCCTTTCTGGAGGTCCAGAATTACACCACTTGCAGCGGCCGCGCGTGCAATCGATCGGCACGTTTCCTATGAAAGATCAGCATCCTGCAGACCCACAGAATACTTCCTCAGAAGGTTTTGCAATCATACCTTCCCTGTTTGGTTCTGCAGCTGAATCGGTCATCGCACGCACAGACACGGCAGTGCTCGCCAAGATCACAGCCCGTTTTGAGGCGCGTGCATCACTCGACCGCATAGATCGTAACAGCACGCAGCCACGCCAAGATTTGAATGCCTCCCACGATCCACTATTGAGTGTTTACCACCTGCACATTACGATGTTCCACTCTTAAGGACCACAGGTGAGCAGAGACCAGACGTTTCGCAACCATCATGCCGAGATGCCCCACACTCCACTGCGACGTGAAGGCTCAGGCCAAGGGATGGAGAGGGGCATTGCCGCAAATGTCCCTAATTTCTGTTATCTGCTGGGCTCCAAGAAAGACAATGTAAAGTTATTGCCTGTGAATGCGTACATTCGCCGGTTGTGGCTAGCGTTTCAAAGCAGCAAGCACTTGTCTATGCCAAGGTGCTTTCTTGATCTAGGGGCAGAAAGTGTAACCACGTGGCTCAGATCACATGCTATCCTATTGTAGCAGGCACTGCCTGGTGGGCAAGTGCACTTACCTGGCGTATCCTAGTGGTATCGGGTTAGGCTGGCGGATGGGTAGGGTAGGGTAGGGTATAGGTATAGTCACGTGACTAGTGGGTAGGAACTAGGTAGGGTATACAAGGTACCCTACCCAAACCGTTTGGGTAGGGTAGCACGTGACTGGGTATAGGTATAGGTAGGGTAGCACGTGACTGGGTATAGGTATAGGTAGGGTAGCACGTGACTAGGTATAGGTATAGGTAGGGTAGCTAGGTAGGGTCTAGGAATGGGTAGT